ATTTTAAATAAGTATGATAATTATATAATAAATAGCCAATATGAAAGTTATTTACCTCAAATTACAACAGAATTAAATAAACCTAACCGAAATACAATAGTTATAGTAGATGGTAAAGATAAATTTCTGAATATTAAAAATTCAAAACTTTATTTATCATTTGAATATCTACAAGAAGTTCTAAATATCCAGCAAAATCTAATGTTTTGATATTGTTACGTACAGCCCTTCAGGAATCCAAAAGCTGATATACTTTTATAATAAACAATAGTCAATTTAAAAAAGCAATCGAATGTAGTTTTATTAAAACCAAATAATAAAGCAAAATAGTCGTGGTAATTTGTAGTAGCGTGAATTGACTCGTTGTAGCAGCTGATAATCTCCGTGTAGTTTGTGTATAATGGCCGGTGGCATAAGCGGATCGCTCGGTCTTGGCGGCTCTGGTACATTTAATCTGTATTGGAGCCCTGGCCTCTATATATACGGAGGCGGCATCTTTTGAATTGAGTGGCGCGTGGCATACAGGCGCCTTGGTAAGTTGTAGTGGTTTATAGCGTCTATTCTAGGTGCTGTCGACGAAGGTTTCACATAAGTGGTTCTTGTTATTATGAGCGTTTACATGAAATGATTATAATTTCGTAATCCCATTTCAATATCTGATAATGCTGGAGCATTTTTGTTTCAATAAATTACAATTAAATTAAATATTAAATTCAATGAGTTAACAGACTCAAAACCTATACCTCCTCCAAAATTCGACCAGATCGACATGGCTTCAGAACTTCACACAGCACATCAACTCAACTTCTCAGAGTCAGCGACGACATCTCCCTAAATCTCAACCTAAGAAAAAATATCGCCGCAATTCTCCTCGACGTAGGAAAGGCATTAGACAAGGTTTGGCATGACGGCCTCATCAGCAAACTGATCGACCTCGCTGTGCCCAACGATCTCATCGCCATCATCAGTTCTTTTCTCACTGACAGAAGCTTCCATATTAAATTCGAAGGAAAAAACTCCACCACTCGCAAAATTCTAGCAGGCGTGCCTCAAGGCTCATGTCTTGCTCCACACCTGTTCTGAATATATATCAATGACATGCCAGCTCACCCTAAATGCCGTACGGCACTCTTTTCTGATGACACTTTTTTTTTATGCCACCATCAATTCCAAAATCTGCCACCAAACTACTACAACTTCAGCTCAACATCACTGAAATATGGTTCAACGACTGGCGCATCACGGTTAACCCTCTCAAAACATCAGCGATAATGTTCTCTCATAGATCCACTGCCACTTCCATCCTTCCTAAACTCAAAAACATAATCATTGAGTGGTCTCACTCAATGAAGTACCTCGGCGTCCACGTGGATAAAAAACTAAACTTCTCAAAACACGTCACCACCGCAGTCAATAAAGGCAAAATCTGTTAAACACTCACTATACCCTTTACTATCCAGCCCTAGTCTCACCATCAACACCAAATGCTTTATATACAAAACCTACATCCGCCCCATAGCAACATATGACTCTCACATCTGGGCCTTAAATCTTAAAGCTGGAAATCTTCAATCAACCTCTCTCCGCCGAATTTCTGACCAACCATGGTTCGTCAACAACAAGGCAATCCGCCACTCCACTAACATCCTACCCATCGCGGACCATATAAATAAACTCACCAACTCCGTCAAAACCCAAATAATCAACTCTCCACACAACCATATCTCCGAAATCAGCACAAGAAGACCAACCTCCCAACTTTTCAAAAAACGACTAATCAACTTCTAACTTTCACCTTATTTGGTAAGCCCAGGTCCACAATCCATACAAAATTCACTCCATAAATCATTCACACTGGCAGAAGTGTTAGCTTGTTACAGTATAAAACATTTAAAGCAAAGTCAAGTCAAAGATATAAGTCACTTCAAGTCAAACCTTCAAACAGTTAACATCTCCTCGCAGAACATAACGAAGATTGAAGAAATCGTAGAGACACCGACCGAACCTGCTATCCAGTGAACCAGTCAACGTCGATCTGCGAAGTCTGTAGAATCGAGCTATCAAGTGGTCTAACGAGGCCAACTGCGGGACGATAATAACGTCCTCGAAGTGCTGATCATCATCCGCGTCAAAGCGTAAATACGGGCAACACCGTAATATTCATACCAAGACCACGGGGGACTGGCTCCCACAACATCGAAGCTGAACCCAACCCGGCCGATGGCTAATACCGTCGGATAACCACGGGAAACATATGAAAATTGTCCTTTTCAGGACAACTAACAATATTTAGACCCCCCTATCGCGCCTGTTACGGCCACGCATACTGGACGAGACTCATAGAACGGACGCCACTTTTATAGGCGGGCCCAACGTGTTAAGTCTCTTCCCCGTCCCATAATTGTATATAACTTTGTAAAGAGCAAACATTCACCTTCTTGTACGGGGACCTCGACGACTGTTTGGCCTTCGGACCCCTCCCACTTATTGTAAAATAGTTAATTCATTCAAATATCAAATGGAAATAAGCACACTTTATACTGAAATAAAATAAGAGTTATCCTAATTACACAACGGTGCCACGTAGAGTACGCTACAACTAGTGGCTTGAACCACGAACGCAACATTTACAATAACAAGAACAAACAAAATGACTATTCAAGTGAGTCCAATACAGGAGACCACTAGCGACAAGGTCGGTCGATTGGAGAACACGGTTAGAAAATTAGAAGAAACAATTGAGCAAATGCAAATAGTAATAGTAAAACAAGATAGTAAATACGAAAAAATCGTTAGTGATTTGAAAACAGCTCTGGTAGAGACGAATGAAGAAGTTATGGCTTTAAGACAATTGATTAACGACACAGACACTAAAATTGCCATCGACATAGCTAGGCGAGAGAGGGAGATTAAAAACTTAAGAAACGCAAAACAAGAAGAGCCAACAGTAAGACCCAGTACTATTCAAATGACGATGCCAACGTTCAGTGGGGAACAAAAAGATGAACACCCAAAAAGCTTTCTCAAAGACCTAAACTCGTACTTCACACATACAAATATCAAGCCAGCAGATAAGATTATAGTAATAGAAAATTGCTTAAAAGGTAAAGCTGACAAGTGATTTGGGATGATAAAAGATACAACACCCACGGCAGAGGCGTTTAAAATGATATTCCTAAAGCACTTCTTTTCCGACGACAAGCAGTGGGATATATGTATAGTATGTACCGAGACTAGGAAACGTCCAATAAAAAACGGATTCCAAAAATACTTCCATCTCTGGATGGCCGAGTTAAGATATCTGGATTCGCCGAAAATGGATGAGGAACAGGCCATTAGTCTAATAATGAAGCACTTCCCTATAGCAGTACAGGCATACACACAGTCAACACAGGAAAAGAAATTCTTGAACATATGGGAGAAGTTAGGAGAATTGGAAAACAATAACAAGGAAAGGGTAGACGGCGATGAACAAACTAATAACACGTAAAGTGAGCGAGTAGTGACAAAACATGACCAACCAAGAAAATTTAATAGTCGGTATGGTCAAACTCATACCCCGAAACAACCACATAGTTTTGACAACCTATACAGTCAAACCACGCAACGAACACAGGAATACTCTAGTCGGTACGACCAGAAACCAACCACGCAGCAAATGAGTCAATCGTCTCCTAATATACGTCATAAGTTAACTCTCCTCAACAACGGTCACAGGATACTGTTTCATGGCACTATCACGACACACAGAATACAATCCATCAAGTTACGGTAGATAACACTATTATAGAGAACGAACAAGACAGTGAAGACGAAGACGAATACGACGAGGAGTCAAAAGACGGACAGACGGGGATTATGGCTAGCGACCTGCTATAATCACACAAACCCGAGGTCTAAAAAATATAACAATCCTAACGGCAGCGGAGCTTACTAATGAAGAAAACTATGACACAAACAGGATTAAGGATACGACCGAAGGATGCCCATATGTATACGTATCAATAAACGAGACAAGATACGAAATGTTGATCGACTCAGGAGCAGAAGTAAGCGCAATATCAGAAGAATGCAAAGAACGTTTATTAAAGGACGATCCGAAGTAACCAACAATACCACTGAAAGGACTGGCAGTTCATAATGCGGTGGGGGATAAATCAACAAAAGTTGATACACAGGTGCTGTTACCAATTAAAATACGAAATAACATAATCCACACATCAGTGATTGTTATTAAAGGCTTAAATGAGTGTGAAATATTGGGTAGTGATTTTTTGGAAATCTAAAACATAAATTTTGTCCAACGGAACATGTCTTTAACAATAAACAACACACAGCATTATATACCATTGATTGGAAAGAAACTATCCCTACCGATAGAATTTAAGGTAGTCACAACAAAAATAATACGACAAGTTACAACAACCACAAGGTAGGAGAACGTAGGAGAGGTCATCTAGTAAACTTATGAGTAAAATGGACAAACCTTTCAGTCCTGAATTTTTTTTTTTTCATTATTTCTTTATATTAGGGTATAAGTCACGTGTATTCCCAATTTGGTGAACTTTGAACTTGCCATATGGGTAATAAAGTTATGGCCACTGGTCGGTAAGGGAGTCAAATAACTTAGTGATTGACAGTTGTCATTATGCACAATTTTATTAAATAAAATTATAGAATAAATAAAAAAAAAACATTTCATTCATCTTGAATTTATTTTAATTTTAATTTTATTATTATATATAATTAATCAAATAGGTATTTTGATGGTAAAGTATATGGTTTATAAAAAAAAACATAGAATCTCATCTTGAGTTCATAATAATAATATTATTATAAAATAAAATAAAAATAAAAATAACATAGAATCTCATCTTGAGTTCATAATAGCCTTTTACAATTACATTTGGTTCATGGTAAATAAAAATAAAATAATAAATAAGTAACAAATTTTAGTCTTATAAATTTACATATTACAAATTGGTATGAAAAGAGGAACTTTATTTGATGTGGTACAATCTGAAGCATTCATTTCTTTTAGTATAACATAAATGAACACCACATTTAGTACATTTTACAGGACTTCGTAGCTTGCACCCCTCATTTTTACAGCGAACAGGATAATTACTATTGTCATTTGTTGGTAAATGGTCAATGTGATCAAATCGTACCTCTTCACAAGGTCTTTGATCAATATCCCTGACTCGTTTTCGAACTGGAGTTGATAATGGTGATGGACTATTGCTAGGCCTATCTCTTTTCTTTACAAAAGTCTTACCTACTAAAATCAGGGTTTCACCTAAGCGTTCCTTGAAGTGCAGTAGGTTCATCGTTTTATAAATGCCAATATGTTTACAATCTAATTTGTATTCCAACCAACTATTTACACAAGCCATGTCAAAGGCATGTGTGATCATTCTCAGTGTCCACTTTCTAGATTTAATGAATGTTCTGAAAAAACTTACAAGTTGATCATGCTTATTTACTCCTCCCATCGACTGGTTGTAACATTTTACAATTTCTGGCCTATTTACCGTAGTATGTAAGTTTTTTCTTTCTTGCCATACCTTTTTATGTCATCAGGGACCCCAGAGGTTATGAAATTAGACCCTAATACCACTGCCTTATTGTCATACCATTTGATTAATCCAATAATACTATTATGCATGTTAGAACTCACTTCAAATGATGATACGACCCATTTTTGATAGTTCTTTATCACTGATAAAAGGCGGATTTGCAAACCAATTAACTCTAATTGTGCTTGCAGAATATATGAAATTTTGTTGTAGTGCATGTAATATGTTGAAAGAAGTGAAGAAGTTATCCATGTACAAAAAATGACGGTTTTTTTTTATTAGCATGGTAAGTTTTAAAACCACAGCATCACCTAAACCAAATACTTTTTGTATTTTACAATTTAGTTCAGTGGTAGATCCTTGGTAAAGAAGAAAATCATATACCAGACCACTCTCACCACACATAAGATATAACTTAATTCCCCAGGGATTTGTCTTACCACTCATATATTGTTTTACGCTTAGTTTACCCTTGAGCGGCACCATTTGCTCATCGACACACACATTTTTTTCGACAGGTAATTCATTAAATCTTTTTTGCAAAATATTTTATATATTTAATACTTTCTTTTACAAAACGATCTTTATTGTTTAATGGAATGTCGTTGTTATCCATAATATGAAAGTTCGACCTTAACTCAAAAAACCTGTTTCTTGTAATATTATCAGCAACAATATTTATTCTGGACTTTTGTTCCCAATACATTCGTATTCGTGGTAGACCAAACACCCCCATAAGTAAATGAACACCAACAAATATTTTCATTTCCCTGGAGTTTGTTTCAATCCAAGTTAATTTACCATGCTGTTGTGCATAATTGTTTGTATATGTAGCCATCTAATCATACTCATTGTCTGGAAAATATTTCATAAAATAATCTAGTGGTGTTGGTATTTCTTCGGGAAAATGACGTTCTTTAAGTTCTTCTAAACTAAATTTCGAAGGTACAAAAGGCTGTTTTTTCCATTTTATACTTATTTTATCAACAAACGCTGGCATAAAATCATTTTGGTTTTCAAATGGATATGTGATTGAATCTGGCACAACCTAACATTCAAAAATGTATTGCGCATAGAAGGGAGTAGGTAGGTATCAATTGTTCAATATGTATTGGGTACTTACATCAATAACATTATCATGTTCATCAATATCCTGTGTAAGTATAAAATCATCATCATCTTGCAAATCCTGTGTAGGTATAAAATCATCATCATCTTGCAAATCCTGTGTAGGTATAAAATCATCACCACTTAGCAAATCAAAATCAAAATTCTCTATAAAACGATTAAATTCTTCGGATTGAAAATGTATGTCCTCTTCGTCAGAGAAATCTGATAAATCCGAATTTCTACCATCTCCTAATAATTCAAGAATATCTTTATGACGTAATTTATTACATGACATTTTACGAAGAAGTAAACAACAATAAGCCAATAAATAAAAATTGTAATATTTACCTATAAAAACACTTGGTAACGAATAACGACCATAGAAAATATAATTAATAACGAAGAAACGAAGATACTCCAGCAGACAGTTTGTATAGTAGTTGAGTGTTTTAATTTTATTACAAAGACTAGATAGTAAACCAATTTAAAAATTAAATAAAAATATAACTATTATCATTTATCAGAAATGTGTTGATAACGTAAACGCCCAGTGGCTTCCCTGGATGCCATGAAAAACCATGGTTGTACGCTTGCTCGTGAGGCATATTGACAAAACGACAGTTTTCAGTATAGGAATACCTATTTTCATGGAAGAAATGATTAAATCAGATTTTTAATATCACAATTCTTCGAATTATCAAAAAAAAATAAAACTAATAAGAGGATTTTCAAAATTTTCATATTTTTTTTTGTATAAGCTCAAATAAACCTTTAAGTACATACACCACACGTTTGGCTCAATTTTTAATAGAATCTAAGTACAATTTGCTTTTTAAAGAGATATATAACGAGTTTATACGTTATGTAGATGATTATCTATGAATTTCTCTAATACATGGCTTCGTACGAGGCCAAGGGGACCGAAAGTAAAGAGTTCCCGGAAGTATTCCGAGACATATCAGGAAAGATCAAGGGATATGAATGTACTTAAAGCCTAAAAAGTAAGATACTAATAAACCAACACCCATAAAAAATACCAGCAGCAATAAAAGAGGCAGTAGAAGAAGAAATAAGACGAATGATAGAATTGGATATCATTGAACCATCAAGGTCACCGTACTCATTACCGATAGTACCGGTGTTTAAAAAGAATGGTGAGGTGCGGTATTGTTTAGAGGCCAGGAAAATTAACGAGATCATTATTCCTGACAGAGAACGACCAATGACTATTGATACAATATTCTCAAAATTCGAATATATAAAATGTATTAGTACCCTAGACCTGCAATCTGGTTATTGGCAAGTGCCAATCGCCAAACAGAACAGGGACCCGTACGAATTACTCATATAAGAGGCTACCGTTTGGGTTAAATATAAGTGGATCTGAGTTCCAGAAGTGTATGGATATGGTATTGGGTCCACAATTAAATACACGTGTTACAATATACGTAGACGAAATTTTAATAACATCTGAAAACGAAGAGGCACACTATGAAGATATCAGAAGCGTACTGCAAAGATTTAAAGAACACAACGTCACGGTGATTAAGGAAAAATGTCAGTTTTCTTTGAAGAAGTCATTTTCTTGGGTCACGTAATTTTAACCAAAGGAATTAAAATGGATCCCGAAAAGATTAGGACAATACAAACATTCAAGGCACCGACGAAGAGGAAAGAAGTCGAGAGCTACCTAGGATTCGTAAATTTATATAGGAGATATATAAAGAACTTTGAGGACCTAATTAAGGCCATTGATCGACTTGACTAAAGATGGAAAAAAATGGATATGGGACAAAACACACCATTAGGCATTTGATAAGTCAAAAAATGCATTTTTGAAAGAGGTCATTATGGCATTCCCAGATTTTACCAAACCAATGTACTTAAATACAGACTCATCAAATGTGGCAATCGGCGGAGAGTTGTACCAGATATTGGAACACAATGAAAGGGCGACATTAGGCTACGTGAACCGAACGCTAAAGCCTCCCGAAACTAGATACACGACAACAGAAATAGAGGCATTGGCGCTGGTATATTGTTGTAACAAATTCAGACAATACATCATGGGAAACAAGACGATAGTGAAAACAGATCATCAGGCACTAATTTTCTTGAAACAATGTAGGTTGACAAGTGTGAGATTGACGAGGTGGATACTGGCGTTACAAGAATACGATTTGGAAATCACGTATATACCGGGGAAACAGAATATAGTTGCAGACACCTTGACAAGGTACCTGAGAACCACAGACGATAGGAAAGAAAAAAGAATATTATTGTACAAAATCGATACATTAAAATACAGCAAGGAGTTGACAAGGGCACTAGAACAGTTAAGTGGGTTACAAAGAATGGACAAACCTATTATCAAACAGCGGGAAAAACTGTCACCAAATAGAAAAGGGAATATTATTCGTAAAAAACAAAGAGGAATGGCAGGCAGCCATATCAGATCAACTAGCAAAAATGCTAACAAGGGAAACACACATATTATTCGGTCATCCGGGCCGATATAAGACATTTCATTTATTAAGAGAAGTGTGTATTTTCAGAAATATGCAGAAGACAGTGATAAATATGATAAGAACATGCGACTTGTGTCAAAGAAATAAACCGCTAAACTACAAAGCGGATGAGCCAATCACAGCGCATAAACCGGAAAAGATATTAGAAAAAGTATCGATCGATTTAATTAGCCAAAGGGCAGAGGAGGAACACAATATATACTGGCAATATTAGACATATTTACGAAATACATAAAACTCTACGCGATAAAAAAGCGACCACAAAAGCAATCTTAAACAAAATAGAAAAGGACTACTTCATTAAGATATGCAAACCAGAGGCTGTCCAAACCCACAATGGAACACAATTTACAGCCAAATTGTGGGAGGACACTTTGAGGAAGCACGGCGTAAAAATAACTTATTCAACCAAGTACCATCCACAGTCAAACCCGGTTGAACGTTATGATAGGGCAATTGGAAGGTTGTTGAGAACGTACTGCCATGATCAACACACAAAATGGCCTCTGAACATAAAACAAATTGAAATTTGGATGAACAGAGTGTGGTCAGAGGTGACTGAACTAACACCTGAACAGCTAATGACGGGACAAAGAACGAAACAACATATTGAGCAGATCATAAGCTATCCAAAACAAACAGGCCAATTACAGAAACAAGAGTTAGTGAATTGGGCAAAAGAAAAAATTTCAAATAAAGCACGGAAAAGGGAAGAAAAAGACAAGGAAAGAAAAATAATAAAATACAAGGAAGGACAGTTGATACTAGTCAGAAATCATCAATTATCCAACGCTGGCAATAGTGAAATAAAAAAATTATTTAGCGTATTTGAAGGCCCATTTATTATAACTAAAATAATTAGTAAAAATACACTAGCGATTACTCAAGGACAATCAAAAAAAGAAACGCTAATAAATATTGCAGAAATAAGCCCATACTTTGAGGCATACAACCAACCAAAGTAATTATACGACAGCAAAGAACATGATCCAATCGGAGCCCCGTAAGCAATTGACGTATCAGAAAATGGAGTGGATCAATCAAAATTCGTACAAAACTAACAAAAAGGGTGTATAAACAGCTACGAAACATTACCAAAAATCATTCAGTCATCAACCACCATGGGACCGACTAGAAAGTACGAGGAGCTGAAAAAAGCTGCCGCAGAGAAAAGAAGACAAATATGTAATAATAACATTATCAACAACCACGGACTGGCATCAGTTCGACAGGTGAAGATAGACATCAATGATGAAGCACGCAAACAAAATAAAGAAAAATATATGTCCATAATACAATGGGTGAACGAAGTAAACGCTGTAAGACGACGTCACAATACCGTTTAGAATACACCGGCAGACTGGAGAATCGTGACGGAACGAACCGTTCACAGATACATACCATTCGAACAAAAGGGCGTACAACTGTAGGAAGCAATAAAGTATGTCACAAAGAACTTGGCAAAATATGAAAAACCAAAAAATGAGTGGAAGAAAACACAGTGTTTGTCTCGAAACGCATTACGTAAGGCCCTATACAGAGCGTAGGATATTTGTAACGGGGATATTTGAACCAGGGATATTTTGAGGGTGCACCTATTCAGACGTGTCCACTCATCTCTACTGCAAGCACCTTCACGAGACTCTGTGTAATAATTGTCGTTTAGACTTAGCACGATTTATTGGAGAACATTTACATAAAACCTAATTGTATTTACATCTGTGTACAATTTTTTCAACCATTACCTCATCATCATCAGCGAAACGGTCGGTACACCCTCAAAATATCCCAGTTACAAATATCCCAATAAAAAATATCCTATATACAAAATATCCCCAGTAATATTATAGTTATGAACCACTCTCTAACTTCTCGTTAACTTGATTAGTCATACTAACATACTTTATGCTATATGTATACCATAGTATATCATGTATATCAGTAAAACTTAATATAATAGTATTTTATGATTATCTCATTTTCGCTATCTTTATATTAAGCTCGTAATCAGTTGTACTGGATGATACCTAGCATACGTCCGCTCCCGCTAGACGTTAATGAGTCCGTATCAGCTCCGGGTCGTTATTCCTTGCCGTCCGTTGAACGACCATATTGCGTCCGGTTTCGATAACGCAAAATTTAATACCGAGTTCACGTCTGCTCATCCTAACATTTTCAATTTCATGGATATTTTTAAGCAGATACAGGGTGACACGTATATAAAGCTTCGCAGCAAGAATTTTATAAAAAAAAACAAAGAAATAGCAAAATATTTGTAGTGTTATTCAGAAATTTATTGATCAATTTAAAGAAGGAAAAATTTCCAGAGCGGAATACGTAAAAAAAGTTTCCTTCAAGTTCAAACCACAAGTTTTTTTAATTTTTTACTTTTTAATTTTATATTATATTTTAAGTCCAAAAAAAATTTTAAGTCAACACAATTTTTTTAACACAATTTATTTTAAACGCCAACAACATTTTTAACCATGCCTACAGAGAATTTCTTCTCACAGTAGCCAGTCCTCAGTACAGGCCTGTAAATGGGTAGAAAAATATTGTTGATTGGGAGCCGATACGTCCATACCACTGGCATCGGGTCGGAGCCGATACGGCCACCTTCAAATGAAAGGCCGATGCGGATACTTCCCAGTTACTAATAGAACTTGTAACAGGAATACCTGGATTTTGTTGAAATAACAAAAATGATAAAATACGTTGACGAATACAGACCGTTGAAATTTTCAACATTACACTTGTGTGCGTGTTGAATGTTTCTTATCCACGAAAACGAAAACGAAAAATGTCAAATTTAATTTTTGTAATAATCCAAAAAGGCAAAAAGCTACTTTCATACGACGGATATTTACATAGCTTACACCGATCAACTGAAAATAAATGTATTTGGCGCTGTGTTGAATTTATAAATTACAAATGTAAAGGACGCTGTCATACAACTAATGACGAAGAATCAGGTACGTCGAAACAGGTTAATACTTAATTAAAATCAAAAAAATCGAAAGTGTGCTAAACTAGAATCGTTTCTTTATTTTTTTTTAGGAGAAATTATAAAAATACCCACACATAATCATGATCAAATGCTGATAAGTTTAATGTTAAAAAAGCGATTGACAAATTAAAAAATGAAGCTATAACGTCATGTGTACCTACAAGAAATATAGTCAGTAAAATAGTTTCAGATGTATCTAGAATAACTGTAAGTAAATTACAACCAATTAGTTATCAATCAGTTATTGGATCTCTGGGAGCTCATCATGCATCGATATGGAAATTTATCAAGTGTCTCCAATTAGAGCAAGGTAAATAAAATATACAATTATATGAAAAATTATTATTAATTAAAAATTAACTATTTAGGCCTTCAAGAAGCAAAAATTGAAAAATTCATGTCTGGTGAGCTACCCGTTAAAAAAAAGAAAATTTACGAGAAGTTGACAGACAATTAAAAGAAGTGGTTCTTAACTATGAACATGTTACTGTACTAAAATATTTAAAAGGCGTCGCTTGTAATTTTTCATTTAAAAAAAAATCTTTTTTATGTATATTTAATTTAAAAAATCAAACTTAATTCATTGAGACTCCTAGTTCAACACATTAGAACCAACAATTATTCACTCTAAAAAAAAAAAACACATCATTGTAAAATCAAAAAAAATATATATATGTATGTTATTATAGTTAATGAAGTAATTCATTTTAGTATTAGGCATTAGTATCTACTATCTACTACAGTGTGAATTAAGGGATATTAATGGGGATATTTTGTTTATAGGATATTTTTAATTGGGATATTTGTAACGGGGATATTTTTAACAATGGATATTTTGATGCACGGGATATTTTGAGGGTGGACCGTCTGAATACAGGCCATTTCGGGGCCCCTCTTATAGTCTGGTCCCCGCTCCCCTTGCCTAGTGATATTTAATACTCGGTGTATGATGTTCTAGATTTATCTTAAATTTTCTGTTGCCCGGAATAAAAATTTTGAATTGCAGCAGTACATTATCAGATAGATAATTTACCTGCGGTAGATCGCGGACCCCGTGCTGTTTGTACGTAAGTGTATGATTTAACTCAAAAAGTACCAAAGACGTTTTTACTTAATTCCACCTACCTATAAATCCTAACCTAACATAACCGTACAAAAATCCGATGAATAAAAAAAACCAAATTTAACCCTTTTTAAATTAGCGTATCTTCTTCCCATAGGTCTAATCTACACACCGTCATTCATTTATATATAAGATATATTTACAAAAAATAATAATACAAATCAACAAACATGCCCGATTAACCAATAGCAACCAATATAATATAATACACCATAGAGTAAATAAAGACAACGGTATCGAGTTCAAATCCCAGACATCAATAAATAGTTGTTGCAAAGAAAGTTTTGTTAAATTGGATGTCTACCAAATTTGTCGTTACTTGATTTCTAGAATAATACTCAAATTTTGATTCATTCAAAATCCATTTAGCTGGAACATTACTAAACCAGCAATCATATTAAACATTTGTATCTTTTACGTTACATTTAACCTAAAATTAAAAAATATATATAAGTACCTACTTAATTTTAGTATTAAATATATTAAGAATTTACACAATGACATTTTTCAAAAAATGGCTTATACTTTTATATTAAAAAATACAAATTATATAATATAGCTAACAATTATGCTGAGAGTATTTAAAATGTTATACTAAGGTCACAACTAATTAATAGTTTTTAGTTTTAAAATTAATTAAATAGGTATGTCAAATTTTTTGGTAATAATTTTTTTATACTTACAGTTTCAAGTGTGTCAACATTGTTGGTTTCTATATTCCTTATTTTACGGTTCTGACTAGCTTCTTTTTTATCAAAATCGATACTAGTAGGCACAATCCTTACACAAATTTGATCTTTGACTTGATTTGACATGATTTCATTCTAAAATTAATTATAAATTAAAATTATAGGGTACTACATAATTATAAGAGCTAAAAAATAAAATTAATTTTAAGAGCAATTTTTTCTTTTGTGATTTTTTTTATTTTTGGTGTTAACTGTTTATACTCTTGATAAAATTATATAAGTCCATATTCTTGATATAAATTATTTTATTGTTTTGACTTACTTCCTTTTTACCATCAACATTTAAACAGGCATATTAATCTGGTCTTTGACTTGAACTTGTAGCAATTTGTTGGTTTCATTCTAAATAAATAATAAGTAGGTACATATCAAAATCAAAAAAATATTAAATAATACCTAAACTTTTATTCGATACTTACAGTATAACAATTACTACTACCGTCCACATTAATGTCATCATTAGTTTTATAATTATGAATCTCTTCTTTTTTTCCATCTACTTGAGTATCTGTTACAATCTTATTATGAACTTTATTAGGCTAAATCAATTATAATTAAATATTAACGAACAAACAAACATTTATTTTAATCAAGATTAACCACATTGTTCTACCTAGTAAATATTTTAAGTCACTTGTGGCCTTGCACAATTGTTATTATTATTTTTATTATTAGTATTATTCTAAACTAATATAGAAGCATCAAAAGAGATTCAGCCCTAACAAAACCACAAACACTATTCCCTAAGAATTAAAATGTACACTTACCTTTATTTGAAAATAAGTATAAGTATCTAATTTTGTAGTTTTTCTGATTAATTTTTCTTCTCTTTCTTTTTTTGCTTTCGACATTTTTCTGTACTGAAAACCACTTAAACGTTTACGTTTATTTGCATCAGACATTTTAAAAAATAATATGAAATTCCACTTGAATAAAATAAAATAACTCAATGTAAATAAACTATGTAAAAATTGTAACGAACTCTAAAGTCTTCGTTGTACGTAGGTACTAGGTAAAATTGTCACTTTTCGTCGTTTGATGAAATACTGAATATTGAATAATATAATAATATAGCGACATGACGGTGCTAGACCATTTACGATTTATAAATGGAAATTAATGTCAAATTATGTAATATAATTTGTAATCATTTGTAACCAAAAAAAAAAATTTGTAACCCACCCACTTCGGCTCAAAACGAAGTTTCCATGTGGCGGGGCCACGGTGACGTCCCTACAGCCCACCATTACAGAATTTCGACTTGTAGGTACTTGAAACCTAGTGGAGATTATGTAATATCATTTGTAATCATTTGTAACCACAAAAAAAAAAAAATTTGTAACCCACCCACTTCGGCTCAAAACGAAGTTTCCATGTGGCGGGGCCACGGTGACGTCACTACAGCCCGCCATAACAGAAGTTCGACTTGTAGGTACTTGAAACCTAGTGGAGATTATGTAATATCATTTGTAATCATTTGTAACCACCAAAAAAAAATCAGATCAGATCGTCGTTTACGCATTCAAGATATGGCAAATGCATTAGGAATATCGTATGGTTCAGTTCAAAACATTTTGAAAGATGATTTAGGAATAAGGCACGTTTGTGCGAAATTTGTTCCACGCATTTTGACCGAAGACCAAATGGAAAACAGAAAATTGATTGCCGTTGAACTTTTCGAACGTTCCGTAAATGAAAAAGATTTTTTTATCAAAAATCGTTACAGGTGATGAAACTTGGGTTTTCGCTTATGACCCAGAGACAAAATTGCAGTCATCAGAATGACACACAACAACGTCACCGAGGCCAAAAAAATCACGTGTTGTCAAATCACAATTGAAGGTCATGTTGATTGTGTTCTTCGACAATGAAGGGTTAGTTCACTGGGAATTTGTACCTAATGGACAAACAGTCAACTCAAGTTTTTATATTGAAGTTATAAAGCGTTTAAGAGATTCAATTCGGCGAAAAAGGCAAAGAAAATGGGAAAATGGTTGGTTTTTGCATCATGACAATGCACCATGCCACTCGTCTTTTGCAGTTCGGCAATTTTTAACGGATAAAAAAATGTCTACAATTCCACAACCCCCGTATTCGCCAGACATTGCTCCATGTGACTTCTGGCTGTTTCCAAATTTAAAACTTGGACTTAAAGATGAACGTTTTGCGACAATTGAAGACATTAAAGTTAACGCAACAGCAAATCTCAGGGCCATTCCAATAGAGGGATACCAAAGATGTTTCCAGCAGTTACAAAGTCGTTGGAGTAAGTGTGTCTGTGCTGAAGGACGATATTTTGAAGGAGATTAAGTAAATTAAGTAGATTTATATTTAAATTGTACGTATATACATAGATAAATTAAATTAAATTCCGTGAACTTTTTGATCCTACTACGTATTATTTTAATCTTCGATATATAAAATAATTTTAATATGGTAAATTTAAATATTTATTGAATGAAAATTAGCCTGCATAATAAAAATTAGAGAAGGTTAATTTTTTGATCCATTTCCCCAGCATGTCAAAAATTTTTTTTGATTTGTTAAAAAACTATTTGTCCGCAAAAAATGAAAATTAGTCCGCAAAATTGCGCGATTTATCCGCAAAATACTGTACTGCTGTTAATACAAGTGGGTCACTGTATAATGGATGGTATTAAATTTTAATTCAATGATATAATATCATTGTATAAGTAAAACGATTCTGAGCGGAGACGGTATGTCTTTCTAGGTATAAGACATATTATATACTTATCTATAGTATTAAAAGAAATTGACCTACAATGAATTCCATATTAATCATATCACCGTCTAAAAAAATGTACAGAGATCGCGTATATTTGCTTGCACTACATTTTATAACGGAGAGTAAAAATCTAATTGGAGGTATAATGCTAATCAATACAGTAGACACGGCTGCATCGATGTGCGAAAAATTATTGAAAGATATGCCATCGTATAATAGATTAGATACTTGTCAAAATATGCCATGTTTTGATAAAGAAAAAAGTTCGGCAGGAGGGGTTGTCATTACATTTCTTGGCGTCGATGGGACTATTAATTTGCAAAAAGAAATAGACGATTTTTTTCAACCAATTACAAAATTCTGTGCATCAATAAATTGTAATTGCTCAAGAGAAGTGGTTACAAAACCAACCAATCATAATATAGTAGTGGAACTATTGTCAATACCAAAAGGTAAATAAAAACATCTTAATTATTTTAAAAGCATACGGGGAAGTGTCAAAATATCCTAATACCATTATTTGTATTTTTTAGTCATTGCTTATTAAAAAAAAAATAATAATAATAATAATATTAGGTACGTACTATAATAGTGATATTAGCTATAATTAGATCCATTTGAAATTTAACATTAAAAAATAAAATTTGTTTTAACTACTCTGTGCAAAATTGTTATTCTCTAAAAAAAACAAAATATTAGACATAATAAAAATGGTAAGTATTACTAAAGGGCAACACCCCAAAGCTAACACCATAAGCACGAAAAATATTCAAAGAATTATTAAAAAAAAAAAATTTAGTAACTAAATAGAATATTTAAATAATGTAGGTATTACATTGTAGTTATTTATATGATCATTTTTCATTATTAATAGGTTTTAGAGCTTCCGGTATTTTATTCAAATAAAATATTCACTTGATTTAGAAATAGGAAATATTGGTATTTTTGGCAACTCTAAATTATGTTCATTGACCTCATTTGATATATTAATAATAATAATAATATTTATTTGGCCATAAAAAAACAATTAAACATGCAATGTAATAGTAACAATGTTACACAAAAACATGTAATTACTAAAATAGTAACTGAAATATATAATACAGGAATATTTGGCCCAACTCACCACTGAGGTGAAACCTCGTATTGGGGAGTTGGAGTCTTACAAATTAATTAATTAATTATACATTAAAATTTATTTGAACAAGAAAAAATTAAAGAAGTTAAAATAAAAACAAAAAGAAAAAAAAAATATTAATACACAAGTATAGAGATAATATATAAGGAAAAGAAAGGGTAGAGGTTATTTGATTTACGTATGCAAGAAAGATATAGTACAGACTGATAAATAGAAAACAAGTAGAAAATTAAGTTATGTCGTATGAATTTTTTAACCATATTTTTATAAGAAGTTTGAATTTTGAGTATGATTGACAGTTTAAGATATGAAGAGGAACGTTATTTAAGAGTTCAAGGCCTACTTTACCGAAGTATCTACTGGATTTTAAAGTTTTAATTATAGGAATAGCTATTTTGTTATTTTGGCGAGTTGTCCGCGTGATTTGTTTAAATTCTATTAATTTTAGTTTATATGCAAAATATAATGCATTTTTATAAAATAATTGTTTTACGTCGAAGACATTCATATCTTTAAAAAGTTTTTCTGATGAATAGGTTTTAGATTTGTTTAGAATTATTTTTATAATGCTTTTTTGTGCTGTTAATAATTTGTTTTGCACCACTATTCCAAGTCAGCCCCAGGCGGTAATGCCATATTGTAATAATGATTGGGTCATTGCAAAATAGACCATACGTAACATAGATTTATCGAGTATTTTTTTAGCGTTTATATAGAAGTGATTAAGTTTCCGCATTTTTATTATTAAATTTTGAATTTGAATATCCCATTTCATATGTTGATCTAATATTATGCCTAGATATTTAATATTGTCAGTTTTTTTTATTCTGAGTTTTACAGTTTGGATTATGTATTTTAATTTCATTTATTAACGGTTGGGTTCTTTTGTCCTGTGTAAATGTTACACATTTTGTTTTGTTAAAATTCAGTCGCAAATTGTGTTTATAAAACCATTTGTTAATAGTAAACATGTCAGACTCGGCGTGTTGATAAGCCTTTTCCCAACCACATTCTGATATTATCAGAGCCGTGTCATCAGCATATGAAAAAAGTTTGCCGTGTGTGCTTGCATTTATATTCCCTAGTTCTGCTACACATATTATATATTATATAGGCGATAGTACAGTGCCTTGGGGAACTCCATTATAGATTATAAGTTCGTCACTTAAGGTATTACCTATTTGTACTTGCTGTTTTCTATTATTTAAGTAGGGTTCAAAAAGTCTGTAAGTTTTGTTAACTATACCTATTGATTGTAGGGTACTTAATAGTATGTCGTGTGAGATGCTGTCAAATGCTTTACTCAGGTCCATGAATATTCCTAAAGATTTGTTTTTTTGTTCTAGATTGGTATATAAGTCTTTGGAGACTTGGGCTAGTGCATCTTCAGTACCTAAATTTTCTCTAAAACCATATTGGGATTTAGGTAGAATAAGGTTCTCCTCTAGGTATGTTAAAAGTCTTTTTTTTTTACGATTCTTTCGAATATTTTTGAAAAAACGTTCAGAAGACTGATCGGTCTATAATTAGTAATATCGGACTTATCTCCACCTTTATGTATAGGTGTGATTAAAGCGGTTTTGAATGAATTCGGTATATTACATTCCACTAAGATTGAATTAAATATATGTTCTAGGATATCTGATATAGATTCTTTAATATGTTTTACAATATTTATAGTAATTCCGTCTTTGCCCGGGGCCGAGTCCCCTTTCATGTTATTAATAGTGTAGTTAATTTATTTTTTCGTGGTCATTCTAAGGTATAGTGGTTGAGCGGAATTGTTATTGACAGAAAGGCATTGTTTTTTATTAGAATTTACGTTATTAGGATTTCCCATTGAGATAAAGTATGAGTTGAATGTGTTTGCAATTAAGGTAGCGTCTAAGTTGTAGTCATGTATTTTATTTTTAATGTTTATATTATAATTAGTTGTTTTGTGTTCAGTATGGGTTGTTATATCTTTAACTGTTGACCATAGCTTTTTTATATTTTTGCTGTTTTTTGAGATTGCTTCCCTATAATAATTTTGTTTTTGTAAGTATTTTTATTTGAGGCTTTTTTCCCGCTTGTAGTTTTATTGTCTAATCGTAGAATTATCGGGAAATGGTCTGTAATAAGAGAGTCTAAAACTGCGGCTTGTATACTGTGTTTATGGTTATCTTTAATAAATATATGATCAATACAGGTATTGGTTTGAGGTCTGGTGGGTCGGTTGATAAGCTGAATAAAATCGAATGAGTTTAGTAAATCTAGATAAGCGGCTGTTGAATTTGTAGTGTCTAAGAGGTCTATGTTTATGTCTCCTATTAAGATTAGTGTAGTATTTTTATGTGCATTTATAAAATTGTTATATATAGTTCTTCAATAAATTTAATTAAGTTGCCACTAGGGGATCTGTATATAGATATAATTCCGTAATTTATATTTTTGTATGTTATTAGAGTAAGCATGCAATTTGCGTTTGTTATTGTAATTTCGGTACTTGATTGGTTTATTTCATTTTTGATGAAAATAAGTATACCATCGCTTCTACGCACATTGTTAATTGAGGCTACTATCTGATAATTTTTAAAAGGTATACATTTAGTATTAAAGTTATCGCTTATCCATGATTCGGTTGTTATTATGATATGATTATTATTATTTAGAGCAGCACTAAGGCATTCAAGATCAGATATGTGTTTTATAATACTTCTAATATTAACGTGCATAATATTTAGACCTGAATTATCAGAGAAAAGATTTGAGTTTGCTTCTTGAATAGTTAATAAGGGCACAGTTTCTTTTGTAGTTATATTATTTATTGTATTTAATGGATTCATAGAAAAATAGGAACTTAATTAAAAAATATATACTAGAAAAGTTGAGAAAAAAAATAAATACATATTAGTGACTTACATTTTTTAAAGGTCACTAAAGGTTCTGATGCGCATTGTTTTTGAGTTTTCGTCTTTTCTTGTAAGGATTTCTGCATTGGATATCCAAGTGAATTTATATTTTTTGTCTTTGGCGGCTGCTCTTGTCTTGGCGAAAAGTATTCTTTTGTCTTTCGTGAGGTGTTCATTTATAAATATTTTATTTTCAGTAGGCCAGTTATTGACTAACATATTAGCGTTAAGTTTTTCATTTTTTGATTTGCGTATAAGTTGACTTCTTATTTCCTTTGATTCTAGCTTAGCAATAATTAAATTTGACTTGGACTTTTCTGCAGTAATTCTTCTAGCTTCTATGACGGGAATGACGATATTCATTTTTTTTCCTATTTCTTTGACTATACTTATGCAGTTCTCGTTTTCAGTTTTTGGTATGCCTATTATTTCAATGCTGGCCCCAAGATTTTGTTGTTCGAGAATGTCAATTTTTTGTCTAATTTCACTTATCTGTTTGGATAATATGGTATTTTCTTTTTTAATTTGTTCGTTTTCTATTTTGACTAATTTTATTTCATTAAATATAGATTCGATTTTCTTATTAAACTCATCGAATTGTTGACTCATAAAGCTTACCGATTTTATTAGTTCTTCAATCTTGTCTTCCAATAAGTTGGATGGTTCAGTGGAGGTTGCGAGGCTTTTGAAAGTATTGCAGGTAGTACATGTAAAACGCTTTTTAGTATTGTTTGTCATTTTTCTGAAGGCTGTTTCGGAATTCATGCATGAAGTGATTGATTTACATAAACTGCATTGAAGTACGTCTTCAAGGTGAGTTATATGTTTATTACATTTTATACATTTACTGGACATAGTAAAGGTAGGTAGAAAAACGATATTAGATTAGAGATAAAGTTTATTAGTGAGATATAGAAGTAGGTAATAAGATAATAGGTACAGATAATAGAGCGATGTTAACGCATTGACAACCGCACGGTACGGCTGACTGAGCAAGACTGATATAAGTTTGGTTTTTTTAGTAGGTGATGAATCATCTTCACTTTCCTCAGATGACTGCTCAGACCATATTTGACTGGTTTTTCTAGCTTGACTTTCTTTATCTAATATACAGTATTATATAGAGTAATACATTTACAACATTTATGTAATAAACTAATAATTTAGTAAGTTACTCACAAAAAGGTCCCTCAACTTTAGTTACTTTGTGAGTAGTGCCATCATCATTATTACAGTGCACAGTACATTGTTTGATCATTCGACTGATTTGAGTTGAGGAAAGAAATTTGTCTTTCCCATCACTTTTTAAATATGGAAACCAACACAAATCGCTCTTAACCATCCAAATATCTGGTACATGTTGAATTTCGTTAGTTTCCAAAAAAAGTACAACAGACCAAGCCTTATATTCTATTGACCTATATTTAGTTA